ATAGAAAAATAATCTGTAAAAATATGAAAATCCTATGTAAACAGTCCGGTATTATTGAGGTTTTTACAGTTCCCCCAATACCTGAAATGCGACCTGCCATTTTGCAACTCGAATTCTATGTAACAAAAGTTCTATATCTCGCATTCATTAGTCATTCACTGAAAATTTCACTGATGACTTCCAACCATATATGAAAATATTAGATGGAAATATACAGTTATAATTGAACCAACTGACTGACTACTGACTGAGGAGTTTTTCAAGGGTCCAGCCCAAGTTGAACGAACAATATTCCTCCATCGCCGGTTCTTTGGATGAGAACGGATGATGTAAAAAACTGTTGTATTGGGACAATGTTCAAAAGTCGGTGCCAGTAAAATTCGAGCATTCGTGAATTCATAAGGCCTCAGCAATGTTGTTCCCTCTGCAGCACTCTCTGCAACACCTTTTATCAAATATTTAAGATTGTTCGTCGACGGGTCTTCAGCTGCTTCGATCGCAAATAGGACAACAAGCAACTGTAATTAGGCTAGTGGTGCAGCAGTGGTCACAGTGTTTCAGCAACTGAAACGGCTCTCGCCATAGACATGAATATATATTCCAACAAAGAACACTACTGGCCATTGTCTGACCGGAAAACTTCACTGCACAGCTCACGCACAGATCTGTTCAAAAACTTTTGAAAAATTCAGCTGATTTCGATACAGTACTAATGAGAATTTGCTGGAAAAAGGAAATTTTACAAAACACTGACAGAAGATGTCTGCCTAGGTTAATAATGCGTGGCACGCTGTATTACTTTAAAAGTTGAATTTAGCTGTTAAAGATTCTCTGTGTGTGACTTGTCAGCTTAGCTTCCGGTATTCGATTATGCAAACCCTCTATCGCTTCAATATACAACTAGTTTAGTTACAAGTTGATTACCTGTTCTGAGCGCCACCCTACTTTTGTGCTCGCTCAAACTACTCATTTCTGCTCTACTTTAGCCGTAACTGTTCATCAGTGACCGACAGTTTTTCTGCAAGAAAGGCTTGCTGCTTAAAAGATGGGTCTTTTTTCGCCCTCACTAAATTAAGATCAGTGGGTTTCAATCCAAAATACTCCATCATCTCCTCCTTAAATCCCGTGATGCATTAGAGGCTCAATTATTA